CCCCGCGAAGCGCCGGCCCCTCCCGGCCCCGGGAGGGAAACCTCCGCGCCCCAGCCCCGTCGACCCTTCCCTCCCGGGGACGGCCCCTGGAAGGCCTCTGCTCTGCTCTGATCTGTTTTCATGTTTCCAAACGTCCGTGTCCTGACGGCCTGCGTGCCTTGCAGACGCCGAACTACAGGCGGGGCATCTCTTCCTGGCTGGTAAGCGCCCCGTTTCCCTTTCCCTCCACTAGTCCCCTAAACGCTGGTAAAGACCGGAGAAATGAGCAGAAAAGGTCAGCGCTGCCTCTGGGACTCCAGCTTCCCGGGGGCCTGCTTGGAGAGGAGGGTGGACCAGAGGGCGCCAGGCTGCTGCGCTGGGAACACTGGTCCTGGAGCACCCCAGCTTTGGCCACCGGAGCCCTGACCCTGCCCAGCACTAGGGGTTCTCAGGGAAGTGTGCTGCAGCTGAAACCTGAGTGTCCACATGGGCCGGAAATCTTTCCCTGTCTGGAACAGGCTCTGTGTCTTTCCTGGGCTAGGGAGTGCCCTTGTGGGTGGCATCAGATCAGCCTTCCCAGGCTACAGACTGGGGTGCATGGGAAACTGGACCTGGGTGAGGTCATAGGCTAGACTGGGCTGGACTGACCCCCACTGTCATCTTTGCCACAGGCCCGGTGGTTCCCCAGATCCCCAGCTAAGTCTGTGGTGGCCCTAAAAACACCCATCAAAGTGGAACTGGTGGCTGGAAAAACCTACAGGTGGTGTGTATGTGGCCGAAGCAAGAAGCAGGTGAGGGGGCCTCCCTGGTGGCACAAGGGGTTAAGTCACAGCACTGTGAAGCTGTGGGCAGCACTACAGCATGCCCTGGCCCTGGCCAGGGAGGTGACCCTGGTGCAGCAGACCCTCCGTCTCACCTGCTGCTCCCCTCAGCAGTGTGTTTCAGTAGATCAGTCTGTTCTGTTCCTCACTCTGTCTCTGGTGAACCCTCTCACGTCCCCGCTGGCCTGCACCCACCGCTGGCCTGCACCCCAGCTCTTGTATGCATAAATAATTTTTTAAAAGAGCAGGTAGGAGACCTCTCCCCTTTCCCATTGGCATCAACACCCCTGCTTGAGGACAGCTTAGTCGTGTCTCCTGGGAGCCCCTGCCTCCCCCAAACCTGAGAGACCACAGAGGAGTTGGGGTCAGCACCACTAACAGTCTTAACCTGCCTTTGAGGTGAGATGGGACAGAAACTGCAGTGGGGACCTCCTCTCTGGTGCTCACCTCATAAGGGCATTCCGGCTCCCTGCTCTTAAGCACCCAGAGACACTCTCCTCTCTCCCTCCTTCCAGGAAGCATCTGAGCTAAAAGTTCCAGGACTTTGGCCCCCAACTTTGGGAAGACTCTGCTCAGCCTGTCCTGCAGAGCTCTGCTGCCTGCCGAGGGCCCTCCCCTCTCGCAGCTGCCCTGTCCTTCCTGCTGGCTGCTGACACTCAGTCTCTGCCTCACTGCCTGCCCCCAGCTCCCTTCTGCCCCAGGGACCTTGGACCCAGCAGGAGCCTGCCCCTGGGCCCCCCCTTTCCTTCCAAGCTGAGCAATCAGCCTGTTGCTCAGAGCTGTGTGTTGCCACCAGCCGGGGGTCCCTAGTTCTGCCTTGCATCTGATTTGCACTAGACTTTGCTCACAGGTGGAGCTTGCGAAGGGGACCCAGGCCAGGTGGGGCCTAGCGAAGGTAGACACTGGGTGCCCCCTGGCTTTAGCTCCCCTGGGACAGAGGCCTGATTTTCATTTGTGCACTTCAGTCAGCTCTTTTGACCTCACCTTGACCTCATGGTCAAGAGGCCTTGGCTACAGCTTTGCTACTAACAGATTTGGGGACTTCTCTAGACATCGTTTTCCATCAACCCACCTCCCCTTGAACAGCTTCAGGACAGGGGTGTGTTCCTGCACCAGGGCACCATTCAGGGAGGCATACTGCCTTCTGGGAACAGCCCTTCCCTCAAATATGCCCCAAGTCAAACAAAATTGATATCCCAATCTTAAAGCAGCACCATGAGGCATACAGGCCTCCTCCCCACGGTCCTTCAGAATGTGGGGGAGCAGATGGATTTGATCAACCAGTGGAGACTCAGCTGCTAAAATCAACACACCTGACTGGTAGAAGCATTGCCGATACCTAAGGTCCTGGCTCACCTTGAAAATTCCATTCTTGTGTCAGGCCTTCTGGGTCCCCCAGAGACTAATGCGATAGTCTCCTACTTAGCGATTACCCACTGCAAGCAAACTTCGTAACCATGCATGTTTTATTCCCTCGGACATTTCTGCCCTTCCTAGTGAACCCCCTCAGCCATGGTCAAGAGCCTGAGCCCTAAACCAGCCCTGTACTCCCAGACCTGCCCAGCCTGGCAGGTGGGGTTGGGTCTCTAATTTCTCTTTCTCTCACCAGCCCTTCTGTGACGGCTCACACTTCTTCCAACGCACGGGCCTATCTCCACTCAAGTTCAAGGCCCAGGAGACCCGCACAGTGGCCCTCTGTACTTGCAAGGCCACCCAGAAGCCCCCCTACTGCGATGGCACCCACAGGAGTGAGCGGGTGCAGAAGGCAGAAGTGGGCTCTCCGCTCTGAGAAGGCGGCTGCTGCCCAGCCTAGGGGCCTTAGCACCCCTTTTGTGGGGAAGGAAATGGAATGCTGAGCCCAAGAAAGGGCCATCGAGGGACCCAGTACCCACAGCTGACCTGTCGAGAACTTGTCCTCTGTCACCCAGGTTCTCTGACTGGGCCTGAGTGCACAGAGCCCGGTTTAAGGCTGGCTGTTGTGACGCATTAAATAAGCTTCGCCCCATGGCGGTGTCCTGCTTGTCACTGGTACGAGGCTGGGCCCTTCCCTGTGTGGGGCCAGAGGACACCTGACAGGTCCCCCTAGGGGCAGTGCAGGTTCATTCCATACACCACCCCCCTCCCCAGGGGAGGTGCCAGGAGCCCCACCACCCTGCCCCTGCCCCTCTTCCCCAAAGAACTACAGGCTCGGAGAGTATGCAGCATTTATTACAAAGCCAGGAGAGACAGACGCCCCAGGACAGGCGGATACAGTCAGCACCTCAGACAAAGGACAAAGCAAACAAAGGCGGAGGGTGCTCCCAACCCAGCACCAGGGCTGCGGTGTCCTGCCTCAGCCCCTCCCCAGGTGATTATGTACACTGGAGGGAAACTGGTGGGCAGGGGTGTGTTGGGGTCTGCCCCTGGCGGGTGGGGCTTCGACCTCGAGGGAGGAAGTTGAGGTCAGAGCTTAAAGGTTGCTCTTGTGCTTCTACCTGTCTCTGTCTTTGCTCTTTCCTACTTGGCCACAGCTGGAGGTGGGGGAGGGGACTGGAGGGCTGTTGCCTTAAATGTGGGGGTCTGTGCTTAGCAAGGTCAGCCCCATTCCACCTGTCCCCTCCAGGTCCCCAGGTGAGACTGCCACCAGCCTTGCTCCTGAGGGTTCCTGGGAAGGGGGCAGGGGAGCAGGGGACCGGAGCGGTGCTAAAGCCACAGTGGGATCAAGGGCTTCAGTCTTCTCTCCCGCCAGATACAGATAAATGATGCGAAGGCCACACACACTGGGGGTGGGGGCAGGGGGAGGGCAGCACTATTTATTCTTTGCGCAAAGTTTGCACTGAATGAGGAAGAAAGGGAGACACCTGCCCACTGCCCCTGCTCCTCAGAACCAGGGAATAAGCTGCGTGGTAAAAGGCACTGTCTTAGGGATTCTCTGGACATTCAACAATGGAGGAGGGGCCCCAGTTGGGGCAGGCCAGCAGCCAAGGTGGGGGAGAAACAAAGACCCCATAAGGTCAGCTGAGACTTACGCCTAAAGCTTTGGGGGCTGTTGAGAACCGCCCAACACCCCACCTGCCTCGAAGACTGGAGGATGCCGAGTGGCACCAAGCCTCCAGTAGCTCCTCCAGTCCGCCTCCAGGCACCCCCAAAAGAGCAGAGAAAATTACACGAAACCCCCTAAAAATGGACACCCCACCACACACACGCACACACACATACGTTTGTTTCCTGTGGCGTTTAAATTAATCTGGTCCATAGAAAATAAGTATGTATATTTGGTTTTACCTATGTACATATATATAGAGATTTATTTATAAAACCCACCCCCCACCCCTAAGGTGGGTGGAGCTGGGGAAAGTAGAAGAGGTGGAAAAGGGGGTCCAGAAAAAGTGGAGGGGTGGAGAGACATGGCTGGAAGGAGGGAGAAGGTCCCTTTCCTCAAGTCAAGGGGGGCACAGGAGCTCCATTGACAGTCATCTTGCGCCCCCTGCTGGTGGAGGGTGGTGCCTGCAGGCAGTTTGCGGAGCCCCCGTTGGCAGCTGTGGTGGCCCCACTGGCAGTGGAGGGAGGAGTGGGGGAGGTAGGGTGGGTGGCTGGGGGCCCATGGGAGCTGGGAGAACCGTGGGAGGGGGTGGCTGGGCTGGGCAGGGAGGAGGAGGTGGCCGGCAGGGTGGCAGGGCTGGGAGCCTTGTCGCTGACAGACTCACACTCGGACGCCCCGCTGGTGTTGGTGCCCTCCGAGGGGGTGGGCGCCGTGGGCAAGGTGAGCCGCTTGCAGGCCGGCTGGACTCGGTACTTGAGGGGAAGAGGGCCGTTCTGCAGGGAGGGGGGCGGTATCAGGAGGGAGGCTAAGGAGACAGCCACCCAACCTCACCCCCAGCCCCAAACAGGAAGAAAGCAAGGTCTGAACCTCGGAGGGGAGAAAGACCCAGGGACAGTGGGCAGGACACCCAAAGGCCAGCGGCAGAAAGGACGCGAAGACCAGAGACTTGAGTGAAAGGAGAGGGAGCCCGAAGACCAGACTCCCTGCAGACCCAGTCCGGGCGCGTCATCTGCCAAAGGGTTCTGTTCTGCTCTGAGCATGAGAGGGGACCAGAGAGAGATGGCCGGAGGCTGGCCTCGTGTGGCAGGCCACCTCGACACGCTCGGCTCACCGGGCAACAGCTGGACCGTGACTAGAGCAAGGAGTCGGCGTGGTCACGGCAGCCGCGCGGCAGCGCCAGGGCCTGCGAGTCCCTCCCCGGCCCGGCCCTGCCAGCAGCTCACCCTCCGCCAGGGGTAGATGTAGGCGATGTCCATGAGGGTGTAGTACTCCTTCAGTGGCTCGTCCTCGTATAGCACCTCCACCTGGAGGAGGAAAGGAAGGCCGCCATGACCCTGGCCAGTGCCCTGACCCCGAGGCTGTAAGCAAAGAGGATCCAAACCGGGCGTCCTGGGGGAGTGGGGAGGTGGGGACGATGGTTCTTGCCGGGCACCCTCACTGCTCCAGGGGACTTGACTATCTCAGATGTCCCACCAGAACTCCAGCTCTGGGGGGCCACAAGGGGAGATGGGATGCAGAGAAGAGGCCACACCGCTGTCCGGTTCCCTCCTATCTGGCAGAACCCAGAGGAGCCAATGAGCGAAGGAAAGGCCCAGGCGGCAGGACCAGGAGGCTCCCTAGTTCCCACCGTGCTGCAGGGTGAAGTCACCGCGGATGATTTCTGGCATCAGTACCCACTTAAAGCGAAGCCAACTCCTGCGTGCTCGAACACACGCACAGACTCTGCCTGGGTGACTGAGTCGGGTTTCACAGCTCCTCACGGGACTCTGACATGTGGCAAAGTTTGGGACCCGCTATCGTAGAGCCCTGGGCTTAAGCGTGGTTGATCTGACCAGCAGCAGCAGCAGCAGCAGCACCTGGGAACTTGCTAGAAATTCTGCCTCTACGGAACCAAGATTTTTACAGGATCTCTAAGGAATCACAGGTGCATTCAAGTTGGAGAAGCAACATCCTAGGGCTCCTTTGGAATCCCAGGCTGCCTTCCTTCAGACAGCTGGCCCCAGACAAGGCCCAGGATTTTGCATACACCGCTGCCATAGTTCTGAGTGTGCAGCATGTGTGCACACTTACAGGCACGTGCACACCATCTTGGCACCATGCACCTCTGCACAGTGACTTCTACAGAGGCAGAAGCCCTGTCCTTGCTTTCCCTTATCCTCTCGCTGGGCTCAGTCACACAACCACGCAGGCCCTGGGCGCCACCCAGCCACCTCAACAATGGCTCAGAGGCACAGACTGTGAGACACACCCATACCCACTTGTCTCAAGGACCCAGTGCGCACCTTGTACTTGCTGGGCACATCCATCTTGTTTCGAAGGAACTTGGCGAGATGCATGACGGTCATGGCTGCTGGGCATCGCAGGAAGCGCACCCCTGTCTGCTAGGGAAGGAGCACTCGAGACTGGGGTGCACCCCGGCACTCTCTCCCAGCCCACGTCCTACTCCTGGGCAGTCCCCCACACTCACCTTCTCTTTATCCCCATCTCCATTCTCTAGGGGGCCCTTCTTCTCTTCCCGGTCCCTGGGGGATGAGATGGAAGCTCCAGATCTCTGGAGCAAGCAGAATCCCCTCACACACACCCAGAAGCCCCCCAGAGACACCCCTTTCTTCCCAGGGAAATATGGGAGGAGGAACCCCAGCCCAGAATCCCAAAGGGACCAGCCGCGGCCAGACTTGCCTTATGCCTTCGTAGAACTCGATGGAGAGACTGACAATCTCGTCATCGCTCAGAGCCCCCTTCTCCTGTTCCAGAACCTCGCCCCGGTCCTCGTTGGAGCCATTGGGGACTGCACCAGGACAGAGCGCTGAGGCGCAGGCCCAGGGTGGGGGAAAGGAGCCCCACCCAGGGAGCTTGGGGCTCAGCGGGTTGAGCCCAGCCACCCCGGGGCGCCACGTGGATGGGCAGCCCAGCGCACCAGCCCTTGGGTCTGGCCGCTCTGGTCACGTGATGCCAGGCTGGGGCCTCGCACGCGCGCACACACGCGGGAAACACGCTCACCTTCCGTCAGCGGGTAAGCTGCATAGAAATCCCGCCGCCGCTTCATCTCATCTGGAAGAGGGAAGCAGGATGAACGGGGAGCAACAGGCTGGGAAGTGGGGGGCAGTAGGCAGTAAGTGGAAAGGTATATAGGCACTTTTGTGTATTCAGTTTGGGGGTGTTCTGTTTGTACTGTTCTTTGTCCATACCTTTAAAAAGCCCAGGGACCAATTTGTAGACGATGTCTTGGAGGGTTTTGTCAGATCTGGGGAAAAATGGGCAGGGTCTTTCAGCAACCATGCACCCTGCTCTACCGGCCTGGGAACCCTGCTGCCCACTCCCCAGCCCCAGGGCCAGGCACTGGGGTCCCAGCAGGGTGTTCCCCTCCAGGATCGCTCAGCCATATGCACGCAGCTCAGGAGGGAGGCAAAGTAGGCACATGCCAGCGCTCCCCACCACCACCTCGGCTCCAGGAAGCAAGCAGGGCGGAGGGACTCTGGCTGGCACAGTCAGGCTGGCACGGGCGGGAGAGGCAGTGTTGGGCCCACCTGATGCTCAGCAGAGGCCGTGTTTTATGGACCTGCACGTCACACATGGGGCAGTACTTGTTGGTCTCCAGGTAGCGCACGATGCAGGTTTTGCAGACTTGAGGGGTGCAGAGAGAGGGAGGCGAATCAGAGCCCCCTTCATAGCCCAGGGCCAACCCCACACTTTCCACTCCAAATCAGGTGTCCTTTCTTCCCCCTGCCCCGCCTTCAGGTCGTTCAAGCCCCACCTGCTCTGCCTGACACCAATAACAAGCGACCCCTCCTCCCTCCTTGGAGGGTGGGGAGGGGACAGATGTCCTGCACCTATGCGTGGTAGTGGCCAGCACCCAGCAGCAGAAGATGAGCCGAGTCCCAACCCCCTCCCAAGGAGTCCAGAGCGAGAGCCAGCCTGACCTCCCGGGACCCCTGCCCCCTTGCCACCCGGGGCAACTCTGTCTTCGGGGGGTACAATTTCAGCTGCCGCGACTCGAGGAGAAACTGAGATCTCAGAAGACAGTCCCCGGACTCAACAGCTCAGCTGAAACTGCCCTTCCCCTCCGGTCAGCCCCGTGACGTGGGAGCCCACCAGACACACCGTGTCTGATCTTTAGGGCGGGGGTCTGGGTTTGCGCCGGACCTTACCCAGGCAGCATCTTGCCAACCCCTGCCAAGGCCACCCGCCCTGCCACCCAACTCACAGGAATGCAAGCACTCCACGATGGTAGTGGCGTCGATGAAGTACCCCCCACACAGGGCACACATGAGGTGAGGGTTCAGCTCTGTGATTTTGATCCGTGTGGTCCGATGCATGATGCCGGGGTGGGGGGCAGGGGGCTGGGGAGCGGCACCCTGGAAAGTGACAGTGAGATCAGCTCAAGAGCCCCTCCCTCTCCACCTTGCCCCCCACCCCCACCCCCCAGCACATCCCCAAGTCCTGGGCCCTTCCTCTCTGCCTTCCAGGCCAAATGAGCCCATACATGGGCCCTGAGTGTCCACTGGGTGCTGCGGGCTCTGGGGATTCACCCAACCTTGGGCAACAAGGTCAGGCCGTACCTCAGGAACAGCAAGGAAGACTGGGGTTAGCGCACAGGAAGAAGTACCGCTACACACCTCTCCAGAGGATGTTGGCAAGCGGGAAGATGGAAGAGAGCAGAGCAGAGTGCTCAAAATCTCTGATCTCAATCTACCTTTACTCAGGTGGGTGCTGGCAGCTAGGAGGAAACGGATAAAGAAGCCAGGGCCCTGTACTCTAGCAAAGAATACATCATCCCAGCCCTCACCTTCTCTGTCCAGTTGCAAGGTCCCGACTTGGTCTTTCTTCCCCGTCCCACCCCCTCCCAGGAGGCCTTGCCCAGAAACGGGGTGGGCACAAGCTGCCCTAGGATCCGGAGGGCACCCACCTCTGTCCAGCGGGCTCTCGCGAGCCCTGGCCCCAGGAGACGCTCCCTGGAAACCCAGGACTACTGACTGTGCAGGTTCCAGGTCTGGTCCTCAGGCGCGAAGCACTGAGGCCGCTTTTTACATGACCAAAGATGGGCACATGCTGCTCTAGCTGACCCCAGGCTCAGCTCTGGGCCCCGCAGGTAATGGCCCTTCCCTAGAGCCCACTGCACAGATGCCCCGGGGCACACACCTTCCAGGGGCTGTTTGCTGGGCAACAACAGGCTGGGCCCCTGGAGATGCCTGCTAAAGCCACGTTCTTGGACCCCAGCCCAGCCGAGCACCCAGCCAGGCGCTGTCCAGGGAGCCCGGTGAAGCCCAGCTCTGGATCGACTGAGGCGCTCACTTCTGGGTATGAAAATTGAATCTGCACCTAGAAGGGATGGCTGCCGCCTCAGCCCCTCCTCTTTCCCAGAGTAAAAGCCCACGGGTTGGGCTCCGGGAGGGTGGCCAAGCCCCAAATGCTCCTTTACAACACACGCCCTCCTCTCCTTTCCAGAGGCTTTCTAAAGCTACCACATTGGGTTTTCTAGGACCAGAAATTCACAGCCGGGATCAGCAGTTTCTATAGAGACCCCAGGATGAGTCTGGCCAGGACCCAAACAGCCACCAGCGGCACAGGGAGCCTGGCCAGAGACCAAAGAGATGAGAGACACGTGGGAGAGACATGGAGCTGGAGTTGCGGGCAGACGGAGAACCGGCAGCCAGCGGGACACAGTGGCCCCAACCCCGCAGCCCGGCCTGAGGAAGGAAAGGGGATCTCGCCCCACACGGGCGGCCAGTGGGGCCCGCCAGCCCTCCCCAGTCCTGCCCGCCTCGATCCCCCTTCACAATTACACAGGAGGCTCGCTGGCTACTCCACTGTTTGGTGGTTTCCATAGTAACCTGTTCCTGGCAAGAAGCCCAAATATTATCACAACCATCCAGTGGGGAGAACAGACTTGAGCATCGTCTTGCTGGGCATGTGGAGAGCTGTCGGGAGTGTTGGGCTGACTGGCCCCCAAAGGCACCCCATGCCTCTCCCCGGCCCTGGGTGTCTGCGGCCGCCCAAGCCAATGTGCAGAGTCGGGACAAAACATTCTTGGGTCTCACAGTGCTGGGGCTCCAGGCTGCCATCAGTCTCACTCGCTCCCCCTTTCTTCCAGGCTCTCTCGGACATACACGTAAGTGCACAAACACCACGCTGAGCGCTGCCCAGCCACCTCAGCACACACTGGCTGTGTTTTCAAAACAGACACTTGCTCTTAAGAACTCCCTCTCCCTTCCTCGGCCATCTGCAGACCAAGACGATCCCTCAAGCCGCTTTCTAGACCCACAGTCTAGACCCACAGGCGCTGGGACAGAAAGAGCAGGGGAGCTGGCGGAGGAAGTGTGCCTCCTCCCCTTGAAGAAATGAGTTCCCTTGCTACACTGCCTGCTCCCCAGCATCCCCAGGGGCCTCAGATGGGTACCTCTGGGGCTGGGGGTGGGGAGAAGCACTGATTGGCTCCTCACCTGATTGCCATGGTTACCTGCAGGGCCCTGTCAGCAGGTGCCAAGAACAACTGTAAACAGGAGCTCTGTTCCCCCATTGCACCCCCTCCCCATCTCCCCCCCCACCCAGCATCAGGGCTCCACATTCCAGATACCCCATTACTCCCCAGCTGCAACTGGCTGGGGTGCTGTGGGAGGAGAGCAAAAGGGGTGATGGTGACTGAACCTCCAGCTGTCATGGCTTCAAAGAAGAGACTGGAAGATAGGAACAATCTGAGGGACACAAATCCCAAGAAGCAGAAAAGCGAGACCAGAGGTCAGTCCCACCTACTGGCTGTGAACCCAAGTGCTGATCTCTGATCTCCCACACTCAATCCTTTCCCCCAACCGGGACCAAGTTCTGTCCCCAAACTCGCTCCTGGCCCCTGGTTCTGGGGGGAGGAGGGGTTTGCTCTCAGGACATTTGATCAGCACCCAGCACCCCATCACAACTCCTCCATCCAAGCCTGGCATTTCTTTTCTCCTTCCTCAAAACCCCTGTCTACTAGAAACCATTCTAAACAGTTTCTGGAAGCTCCCTGGAATTCAGGACTCTGGCTGTCAAGTATGTTCCGTTTCCCCTGCAGAAACAGTCTGGTAACCCAGAGGCCCGGCTGCACCCTCAGATGCCAGCTATCGAATTATTTGCTCCATCTTTTTTCCAAATGAGATTAGCCCAACTCCTCCACAAGCAAATCTCCAGGTTTTGGGAAGTTATTCAAGTTCACATCCAGGTATCTAGAAATGCAGAGGTACAAGGAGTCTCAGAGAGCATCTTGTCCCATCCTCTCATTTTACAGATGAAGAAACTTAGAAAGTGACTCGTCCAAGGTCCTTCAGCAACACGTGGTGATCCAAAACCAGAAACCGCCAGAACCCATTGCAGTGCTCCTCACGCCAGCGCCCAGGCCAGTGCGAGGTGGCAGGACACAGCTGGCAGGAGACCACTCACGCCACTCACTCAGTGAGCCTTGGCGGTGGGGGGCAAGTCTGCCCTCAAGACCGTCAGCACACATTCTCACCTCGAAATAGAAAGAGGAGCAAAGGCTAATTGCTTCACCCAAGGTACAGATAGGGGAACTGAGGCAACACAGCAGCAGTGAGCCAGAGAACCCTGTGTTCCCAGAAGCCATTCCTCTCCCAGCTGTGTGCATTCAACCGTGCACACAGGGGGAGCCCGGCTCTGGCTGGTGACATGTCAACCTCTCAATCTTCCCCATTTTTAATGCTGGGACAAGGATTTGCTCCCCTGCACCAGCATGGAGAAAGGGATCCAGCCTCCTGAAACTGGGCTCTAGCCTCCCACCTCCACACCAAACAAAGACAAAACCCTACACATTGCCAGGTATACACACACACACATACACACGCATGTACGCACGCACGCACACCAGTCGGACACACCCCCCTCCATGTTTCTCACACTCACAACACACAGACCAGACAGACATCATACCTCTCTCCCACCCCTCCACCGCGGCCAGACAGGACTTGGCCAGACACACACACAGACACACTGGCCAGACACAACCCATCACACAGACAGCCAGACCAGAGCCAGGCCCACACTTGCCAGATACCCACCCATCTAGAAGCCCCAACTCAGACACCCCTGGCTGAAACTAGAATGGCAAACACACACTAACCTTTGTGCATCCCTGGTCCACCCAGGGTAAATTATAACGTACCTCTTCTTCTAGCAACAAAGGCAGAGCGGCCCCCAACCTCCACTCGGAGGGCTGGAGGCTGGAGGAGTCGGGTGAGCATCTGACCTGCACAAAGATGGAACTCTTCCTCTCTCCATTCCCATGGCAACAGCTTCATCAACCAAGATCTCTTAGATAAGGCCAGGGGCAGTAGAGACCCCCCTCTTTCTGCCCAGCCCCCAAGACTTCAACTTGAAGCCCTTCCAGCTAGGCATGGATTGGGCACTGAGTCCCTGGTCTCACCTGGGGTCTGCTTCCTGCTATTCCAAAGTCAGCTTCAAGACCTCAACCCTCAGCTCCCAATAGGGAACCCCTGGGAAAATGTCCCCACCAAAAAGCTGCAACAGAGCTGGCTTTATGCTCCTTCTACAAGTACTAACACCTTGGAACAGAGTGGAGAGGGGGAGGGAGGAGAGCGATTAGCTCCAGCAACCCATAAACTGCACCAGCCCCAGAGACAGCGGCATCAGAAAGGTGTGAGACACAACCTGGAGATCCCCCTCCAGTGAGCCTGGAGAGACTGAGGCAGAGGGAGGTGGGGTACTCTGAGACAAAGGCCGGGGGAAGGCAAAGCGCGGGGTAACACTTGCACAACATTTACAGGCACACTGGCCACCCCGAGGCGGCCTCCTTCCCCACCTCAAGCCATCCCCAGCAACTCTGGGCAGAAGGGGGTAGTGGGGGAGGGGGAGAGGCATGCCTGGGCCCACCGTGGAGACAGGAGGGGCAGGGGGTGTCTGTTTGGGGGGGGTTCCATCCCCTCAGAGCAGGAGGGTCCGAGGAAGGAGGGTGCAGCCCTGCTCCCCAGTGGGCGAGGGGCTGGCCCATCAGACCCTCCTACCTCCACTGGCGAGGGAAAACATCGCGATTAGTCTCCCCCCTTCTTTACTCTCCCCCCTCCGCCCTGGCTTCCCCAGAATTCTGGGTCAGAGGATCAGGGACCCCAGTTACCGGGTGGCCGCTCCTACCTTCCCTAGAGCCAAACTTTCGGCGGGGCCCAAGGAGGGGTGTTCCGGAGGACGCTCTGCTGAGGTGGTTCGGGGAGGGGGCGGGGCGCCCAGTATTAGGATGGGGGGAAAGGGACCGGCTGGGGGAGGTGCCCAGGAGGACAAGGACCCAGGCAGCGAAGAGCGCCCTCCCCCGGCCCCACAGCAACCAAAAAAGCATGTCCCTCGCCTCCAGGCTTCAAGTGCTCGCGCGCCCGCGACGCCCAGCGCCCGGGGAAGCAGCGAACGACCCCTCCCCAGACCCGGGTAGCGCCAGGGGCCGCTCCGGGCCGCGGGGAGGGCTCGCGGGGCAGAGGTCCACCCCAGCACGCAGCCCCGCAGCCCTCTCGGCCGCCTCGGACCTTCGCCCCCTCCCCCCGCTATCTCCGGAGCAAGGCTGCGGCACAAAGAGGTGGTGGTCGAGGGAGACGCCAAACCACTAAAAGGGGAAATCCACTTCGGCCATCTTGGAAGGGAGGAAAGGGGGAAAGGGACAGGAAAAAAGGAAGAAGGGCGGACGGGGCGAGCTAGGATAGGGGCCGGCGGGGACCCGGCGGAGACGCGAGCGGCAGGCCGGGCTCCTGGTCTCCCCCTCCCAGAGAGGTCGGTAAAGCAAGAGGGGCTGGCCCCCGCTCCAGCCCCCAGGAGGTTACGGGTGGGAGAGCCAAGGAAAAGGGAGTCCGCGTCGGCTTACCTGGGTTCGGGGTCCGATGGGTCTCGGGGAGGGGGGGATGGGAGGGAGGGAGGGAAGGGAGGGAAGGGGGGCCGCAGCCGCGTCGCACGCTCCGGCGGCGGGAGGGGAGAAACCTATGGTAAGGAAGGAGTTTGTGAAAGCAGCTTGGGGTGGGAGGGAGAGAGGGGAGGGGACGAAGGGGGAGGGGAGGGATCGGGGTGGTGGTGGGGGACAAAATGGCTTTTTTCCTCCAGACAAGAGTAGTCCCGCCCACTACTCACCCACGTGACCTCATTCCTTCGGGGTGTTTGCAGAGAGGGGATGAGAAAGAGGGGAGGAAGGCTAACGTGACTGCCCCCCCAGGGGCCCCCAAACTAGGACACGACCTCACGCTTCCCCAGTAGTCCCTAACCCTGGAAGATGAATCCTCTTTTCGGTTACTCTCAGAACTAATCCCTCCCCTCCCCCCAAAATCTGTGTGCGCCCCCCCACCCCGCCCCCAGAACCTGCGATCCCCACCCCTAACGGGGGCTCTAGGAAGACGGTGAAATGAGGACCCGGTTGATAATGTGGCTCCATCTGCAATAGGGGACCTCGGGCACTGCTGGCTCTGGCGGGGAACGCGACGCCTCCGGCCACGCGCCCGGGTTATTTTCACTCACTCTGAGTGACACTCTGTTAAAATTAATAGCTGCATCTGTGAAGAGTGTGCCTTCCGCAGCCCCTTAACCCTTTGGGCGGCCCGATCACCGACTTCAAAGCGCAGTACCGGGGACTCAGCCAGGCGCCTGGCTGGGGCGAGGCGCTGGGGCCGGGGAGGAGAGGCCAGCGGAGAGGTCTCCGCGCGGGCCGTGAGGAGGCCGGCGCCCCGCGCGCGCGGCTGGGGCGGAGGCACAAGCTGAAGACCTCAACTCCAGCTCTGGGCCCGGGACACAATAACCCGGTGGGTTTGGAGAGGCCCGAGAAGACTAGAAAATGAGTCCCCAGGTCAGGAAAGTGGGCCCGCGCTTTTCCCCTGCCGTCGCTGGTTCGCTCATTTTCTGCGGGTGCGCGGATCGCGCTCTGCACGGTCGGGTCCTGCAAGAGCGCAGGCGGCTGGTGCCAGCCGACGCCGCTGGTGGCTCCCGGCTCCACCCAGCGCTCGGCCTCCGCTCCCCAGCGCCAACAGCACCCCCCGGGAGGCGAGAAGCAGAAGGGAGGCCTAGAATAGCCGGAGAGGCTCCGGCCGGCGCCGGAAAAGCCAATCGATTCCATGCTACGGCGACAACCGTGGGCCTGCCTCATTAGGACGGTCGATTCGCCTATTCGTCATTCAAGATTTATTACGGATGGCCCCTGGGTCTGTCGCTCCAAAGAGCCCGATTATCCGGCCAGAAGCGCCATTAGGCGCACTGGCGGCGGGTGGGTGGCTCCAGTTGGGGAATTAGATGAATCTTCGGCAGCGTCGAGCGCCTGCCTCCTCCCCACCTCTCGCAATCAGGCAGCCCCGAGGCTGGGGCCAGGGGGCTGAGTGCTTCCACCCTTTGGCCGGCCACCAAGAGATCTGCAGACACGGCCGCCCAGTGACCCTGGCTTCAGCCTTCGGTCTACAACGGCCGAATGGGGGCGGGGAGGAAGAAGGAGGGCGGGAGAGATTTCCGTCAGAGGGGGTGGTCCCAGGACCCGCGGGAGAAGGGCCCCCAGGATCCGGTAACCTGCTGCCCAGTCCGTGCAAGCGGAGACCCGGAGTTTGCCGCGGACACGCCCACTGTCCCTGGGCCGTTGAGTCTCCCGCACCCTGGCCACGCCCCGAGAAAACTTGAACCTCCGCCTCTGTCCCCCAGTCGTCCCGCGGGGAGCGAGTGCGATTTCTCCCGGTCTACCACTCCTTTCTAGTAGAAGACCCCAGGCAGGAAAAACTTGTAGGGGTTTCGTGAAAATCTCAGTGTCACCCACAGTTCGTCAGGGCACCCAGGGACTCTGCGGGACAGGGGTGGAGGTTTCAGCTAGTAGGAAGCGGGCTGAGCCCCTGCCTCGACCCGTTCGTTCATCCTGGACTGCTGCTCAGGCCACGGTGCTTGTCTAGGTGTCCTGTGGCTCTTTCCTTAGACCATTAACTGCCCATAACAGCAAACCGCAAGGCCGAGGAGCATGCAGAAGACCCCAGCAACCCTAATACTTTTTGTTCATTTTAGTCATTTCTGTCCTGGATGACCAGTCCCCACATCCGTGGCCTTTTTGGTCAGGAACCTCTGATCCAACCTTGGCCACATCTAACTTTCTCTGGCTTCTGAACAAGGAAGCACCTGTTACATGTCAACGTCAAACGCTGCCGGTAGACAGAGGATCCGGAGGACCCCCGGCTGATGAGAAGAAGCTTCTGCCTGCTGTTGGGGGGTGGGAGGGTAGGGGTTGGGGTGGAGCAGAACAGAGGGTGTCTGTCTCGTTAGCTCCGGGGTCAGTGTACCCTTCTGCTCTACCTCACCCATCTGTGTGAGCACCAGTTAAGAGTGAGTGACCCAGGAGAGTCCCTTGAAAGAGGTCTCTTTGAGTCCACTCTTAAGAAGAGACCAAATGTGGAAAGGAGCCACTTGAAAGAGTCCTTTGCTTAGAACCTCAAAAAAAGGTGGAACCCTCCCTGCCCTGGAATGCACCTCCCTAGTTGCCAGAGCTACTCTCTCTCCCCAGTCTGTGTTAGTGGTATTTCACACTATCTTCCAACAAGTCCTCCTCAAAAGAGCCACTGTGTCTGTCACAAACTAGAAGTTCCCAGAAGGAAGGACACAGGGGGTCTAGGTAATGCTTTCTGGTACACACCACTAGCTACTTGGTTTCTCAAGAGAGTAAGAGCCCCTGGAAGAATAGTAGGAGAGGGCCGCTCCTCTAGAGATTTTCTGCCTTTACCTCTGTGTCCTTTTTATTCCTTTCTCCCTCAAAACAATGTCCTTTGTTAGTTCCTGCTTCTATTTCTCCATCCTCCTCTCCACTTCCTTGTGTGTATTTTTAGAAAACAATATGCTTTGTTTTTGTTTTCCTTAAATGCTTCTATTTTTCCTGTCTCCGTTTTCTCCCGGTCTTGCTCCCACTCACCCCGCCTATTTCTCTGTTCCTTTCTGTCTTTCCCTCTGTATATCACAGCTGTGTTCTCCCTTTCTCACCTTTCTCTTCACCCTCAGTTTGTCTCTGCCTTTGTCTGTCGCGCTTTCTTTCCTTCCAATGACAGTATTTCCAGATTGTAACATCGATTGAGGTAGACAATGGAAAACTGTCCAGCCTCCTCTGCAAATTCGTTTTTAATCCTAGGAAAGACGTATTCCCCAGTTAAGACAAAAAGCTGTCTGCTTTTCCAGCAATCCAGCTTGGGAAGGGAGGTGGGGACGGAGGAGGTGGTAGAGTGAAGAACCAGACACAGTATCCCATCATTGATGGAACAAGAATTTTCCACCACAACGACTTTTTGA